GACAACTCGCTGGGCGTGCTGAGGAACGGCACCCTGGCCCAGTTCCGCAGCCTGCCCGCCCTGCGGCGCGTCGTCCTGGGCCGCAACACCTGGGTCTGCGACTGCGCCATCGAGGACCTGGTGGCCTGGCTCAAGGAGAGCGACCAGGTGGAGGGCAAAGAGGCCCTGACCTGTGCCTACCCCGACAAGATGTTGGGCAAAGCCCTGCTGAAGATCAACGGCTCGGACCTGAACTGCTCTGTGCCCGTAGACGTGCCTTCCCAGCTACAGACGTCGTACGTCTTCCTGGGGATAGTCTTGGCTCTCATCGGGGCCATATTCCTCCTGGTTTTGTACTTGAACCGTAAAGGAATCAAAAAGTGGATGCACAACATCAGAGATGCCTGTAGGGATCACATGGAGGGCTACCACTACAGATACGAGATAAATGCAGACCCTAGGTTGACAAACCTCAGCTCCAACTCGGATGTCTGACAAAGTGCCCCAGATGCAGGGCAGCTCACAGTACCTATGCATGAAAAGTAGACTTATGCTTTACCATCGTGCTTGCATCCCTCTCCTCTGAGAAGTCTCAGACATGCTTGTAACTCGAGGGAGATGTGCCTCCCTGTGATGTCGAGTTCATTTATGTTTTGAGATGCTGGACAGCTGAGCATGGCGTTCGGCTGTATGTAGAAAACAAGCTGCTACTTATATTCCTCCTTACTTGTCTGCACTTGTGGGAAATTTATTTTCAAGATGTCAAAAAGAGAAAAGGATTCTCTCTGATGCTCCAAAGCCACCAGTGTTTATAAAACGTTTACCCATGCAGACACCATTCAACAAAAGCTGCCTCAAATTTTTGGGAAAAAAATGTTATGTTCCTCTGTGCCAGTTTTGATCTTGTATATCTGAATTGTGATGCGATGATTACATTTCATAGACTACCTAGAGATTTAAAAAAGCAAACAAACTCCTAAGAGCTCCTTAGTTACATAGAAAGAAATTGAATAGTGAGCATGCACAAATACTGTGTAGTTTTACGTTAGGAAATTTGCGATTTCAGTAAGTCTCTTACTGTTTTGTAGTTATTTTTGATTGCAGTTTATGTGAATCGAGAGATTTTTTTTCTACAAACAGCATCTAAACTGCATCTGAACTGTTAAATTCAATAAACAGTCTTACAAGAACTGTTGTGTTTGCTGTTCAATGAGAAATGTATGGACATCTACAAATGTGAATAGTGCTACAGTCTCTGAGGTAATAGCCTTGCGGTAATAATAGGAATAAAATTTTATACAAATGCATAGATTAGAGACCTGAATGTTTGAGAGTTTTGTGGAATAATAGGAGTTACACTGATCAATGACAAGAGCAGTTTCACTTGGCACAAACCCCCCTGTCTGCTCTCTCAAGGCAAATGCAAAATGTCAAGACGGATGCTAGGGTCCACCTTGCTGGAAAGGTGCAAGCTAATAGAATAAGATCTTCTCTCTCAAATTTAAAATAAAATATCAAATGAAATTGTAGAGTTTGCAAGCTGAAGGAAATTTTACCAGAATGGAATTGTTTCTTATAAAAACACATAGGTCCTGGACTAAATTAAATGCAGCTCACTCGTGTGGTCAGTGAGCTTTAGGCTTGTAAATCACTGCAGCATTTATTAGATTGCTAACTTTCCTTTTTATGATCTCGGTGCTTGTGAAGTTCTATAGTGATCTACATCTAGTAACTTGATGGAACTTTACCTTAAAGCATTTAGCAGGTGCATTTCAGTATGGTATGTTCCTCATGCTTATTACTTGCTTGGGAATGCAGTTTCTTGTGAATAGATAAAGCATGCAAAAAAAAGCCTTCAAAAATGCATAATTTAATATGCAACTCTGGTGATGTATAAAAAGGTTAGCAAGAACCTTCCAACGGCTGCCAATAATTAGTGACTTTTTCTATTTATAGTTTCTTAATGAAAAAAAATACACCAGCTGTAAAAGTGTGATGTGACTTGATATATATCAGTTTATCTGTGGAGCTTTTTCCATGGTCACTGTTACTTGAAGCTCTTGAGCATCTCTCAGATTTTATGAATTACTGGCTAATTCCTTTTGCTTTCAGAAGTGACAGTTTTCTCATAGATATATGCCTTTGGTAAGAGCTCATAAATATAAAATAGTCCTTAAAGTATCAGAAGAAATATAATCTATTTTGGGCATCAATATTATTCAAAGACACTTTTTGTCTCCCTGCAACTTCTGACAAAGCAAGTAGCACAAGTTGGTCGAGGCTAATTTTCTATTGCTTCAAATTGGATTTATTTGATAGCAGTGATTTTTGTATGTAGTTCTGTGCATTTACCCTTAAAAGTAGCAAAAAAATAAGTGATATTAAGTACAACTAGTGTTTTGTAAATAAGTATATTTTCCAGTTAATGTAAGTTAAGTTATAGCCTATTTCTCCTGCTGCAATTTAAACCTATGAGCAGTATGTGATTAACAGCATATGAATTAAGTTTGTGGAGTCTTAAAAAGCAAACTGCTGGTCTGAATGTTAGCTGCCCATATTTTAAGAAAAACATAAAAGCCCTAGTGTGAGTAACTATTCCTGTGCCACTATGCAAGCCGTTCATACTTGGTATACATCAGCTAGTTTATGTAAGAGGCTGGAATTTACCATAGCTATGCAGTGTGCTTTGTTGTATCAGTCATTTTGGAGATTATCAACTTACACTTACTTGTACAGTGCCAAGAGGAGTAGACCATCATCCTTGCTTAAGATGCTCCTGTAATATAATAGATAAAATATGTACAAACCAAGCCATTTCTTGGGCAATTTCCTGGGTTTTGTTAACAGATATTCTAAAGTAACTACAGTAAAAGCAATTATCCGTGATGTGTTAATGTAACAGCTGTGTGTTTATAGAGCTGTGTGAGGACAGGCAATGACTTTAATTGCAGTCTCTCACCAATGAAGTGTTTGTATACTGAGCAAGTGTAACTGGTGTACTACACTTATCATTCTAAAGGTTATTATTACTATTATTTTTGTATCTTAAAAAGTCAACGTAATAGAAATTTGTTAGGGATCCGGTGATAGCTACTTTAAAATCATTTCTGTTATTTGCTTACATGTGTATTTATTAGAATGTAACATTTAGCATGTGTCGGTGTTGTGGTGGATAATGTTCTCCTACAGTGTTTGAGCAACAGTGAATGCTTTGGTGTTTTGTACGATGCATTATTTGATCTTAAATCCTCTTTCATAAACAGTGCTTGAAATTCAGTTTGCTTTCCTTTTATGCAAAAGGTAACAGTGTTACTCAAGACGCATAAAAAGTAGCTCCCACAGTACTTTGGAACTTGGTTAAAAAGTGTACATTTGAAATAATATTAGTTGCAAGGTTATTCTGAAGCACTAATCATACTCTGCTTTGACACCTGTAATTCCAATTGACTACTCTTTCCAGAGCAGCTAAATTAGCAGGGCTGTTTTATTCATTCATTTTTCAATAAAATACGTGCAGTACTAAATGCCTCTAAAATGTGTTCTGTATACACAAATCCCCAAAGTTCTGCATGACACAGTTGTCACTGAAAAACATCTGTACTTTAGGGAATCTTGCACAGCTAAGAAGCAGAAAGGATGGTTTTTCCAAGGTTCAGCTGCATTCTTAAAACTAGTTCTGGTTGCAATAAGCTTAAAATTTTCTTAGAAGAATAGCACAAGGAATTGACATAGTTTTAATATATTTTCTTAAAATACTTCAGATAAGTGCTGTTGCCAGGTGAGAAAATTCCCCATATCCTTTATCCAAGGTAGCTTTATATTAGATCATCCAACATCTTTTTTTTATTTCAGCAAGCCATAATATTGCCAATAATTTTGACATCCAAAAAGTGGTTTGAAGTTTAGCACAACTGCTTTAAACCTTTTCATTCAGGGCAATTTACCTTCTAAGCACTGGCAACAGTCACCAGCAATGTGGCACCTAGTGAAGCAGTCAGTCTGTTCAGAGCTGGGTTCTGTTGTTGGCTGAGATGTCACTGAAAACAGGCATGGCAAATTACTCAAAATACCACTGAACTAGGCTCCCAGCTCTCATTATTCTACCAGCATTTTCCCTGTGGTATACTCTGGTCTTTATGCATCTGCATAATTTCTTTTTTGCCTCATTTTCTCAAGAAATCCATTAAAAAGAGTATCATGAATCTGCACAGGTAGAGCAATCCATCTGCCTGCACCTATATTTTGAGGTTTAGCATCTTCAATTCCCTTTAAGCCTTAATGTGGAAAAGAGCCTTTGTCAAATTGGACAGAATGAAAATTTGATATGCACTTTTTCTTTCTCTTTAGCAGCTGAATGTTCAAGAAGAACCATTCATTCTCAGCATATGATGAAGGAAAGTAGCATTTGGTAAGAAAAATGTTTTGGTTTCAAGCTTCCAAATGACATTTATATTCTATGAGAGAAGGTGGAAGGGAGAAGCTAGTAAAGGAAATAGAAGTATCTCTTTGTAATGGGTCAGCACTGGAAATCACAATGCTATGGGTAGGAACAAATTCTGTCTGCTATGTTCTGGTCATTTTTTATAGACAGAGCTCTAATTTCTTCCTGCTGCTATAAATAGAAACATTTTGCTAAACAACTGGCATCTTGTCTTAGAGTATTTGTAATGCAGGTGTTTCCACTGTGAGTTTTTTGTGGAATGTAATAGAAGATTGAATTTAATTCAGTGCCTGATGATTTAATAATGACCAGATCAGGCCCATAACTTAATGTTCTTTATTTTTAAAGAAGTAAAACATTCTGTTTGCAAGTTGCAAAGACCTTGGCTTGAAATCAAACAACAAAAGCCCACCAAGGAAGAGAGAAAGGAGAACATTTGGAGAGTGTAGCATTTATCAGATATTTCACACAGAAAAGAGACCTAAACCACGTGGGAGCTGAGGGTCCTTCGGTGATACAAAAGTGTACTCTGTTAGCTTCTTGAGTCAATACAGCCGAAAAGTAATGCTTTGTACCAACACAATAAACCTAACAGCACTTCTCTCCCACATTGGAAAAAACTGCACCATGCCTTTAGAATTGAGAATACAGGTTTGCAATATAAGTATGTCCTTAAAAAGGACTTTTGCTTTCTCAACCGTGTTACAATTTACGTGTTGTCACATCCTTGGAAAACCTTGCTGTGCCAGAAGTCATCTGTTGCGTAGGCAAAGCTTGAAATCAGGCCTTGCATTCCCAATGTTAGCCTAAATAGAAAAAAGGAACTATTAAGAAAATTAAACTAGTACTTTAGACAGAGCATCCATGACTCAGTTAATAATTTAATACTTGTAATTATTTATATTTTTCAAAGTATTCGCTAGATAGCTTTTCCTTTCTGATGATAGACTAGCAGAATAACAGATTTGTGTTTCTAGTAATTATGCATGAAAGCATCTGAATAAATTAGCAATGTTGTTTCAGTACATACAGTGATGAAAAATGTTAGAAATCT